TACAGCCTAAGCCATGTGGCCTGTGACACTCTGCTGCAGCGTCTCTTGAAGACGAATGCAAAAGCAATAAACACACACCCTTTCTAACTTGTCAGCCGCCTGTCTCTCAAGGCCAGCGCGCTAGCTTTCCCCCAGACCCGGGCTGTGGGCTACCCTCAGGGTCAGCGCTGACCTTTCCTGGAAGTTAAATGGCCTCATGTCAACCCCCACCCATCGGTTTTCCCTGTGTATTCAAATTGATCAAGTTCTTTGCTATTCATTTTTAAATAATAGTTTTATTAGGAATAAATGACTTTCATAAACATTTTAAAAGATACAATCAGTTAAGTTTGGACACAGGTATTCACCTGTGAAACTGTCATTGCAATCAAACTAATGACCACAGACATCCTTTGTACCCTGTCTCCTTCCTCAAGCAACCACTGCCCTCTACAACTGTAGATTAGAATGAGTTTTCTAGCTTTTTTTTTTTTTTTTTGAGGCAGGGTCTCACTATGCAGCTCAGGCTGGCCTGGGCTTTTTGCAGGGACCCTCCTGCCTCAGTCTCTCAAGTGCTGGAATTACAGGCATGCATCACCACGCCTGGCAAGAGTGGATTTCCAATAGTTTTAGGTTGCATTTCTCTATTGAGAAAGGTGTTGAGCACCTTTTCACATGGTTATCTGACATGTGTACATTTTTGCTGAATTATTCCTTTTTTAAAAATTGCTTATTGGAGGGGCTGGGGATTTAGCTCAGCGGCATAAGTGCCTGCCTTGCAAGCAGGCAGTTGTGAGTTCGATCCCCGGTACCAATAAAAAAAAAATTGTTTATTGGTACATTTTAGGTACCGGTATCATCACATGCATCACAAGGAATTTGTACCTCTGTGTGATATACTCTGATTCTTTTCCTCCCCATCCTCTATGCTGCCTTCAACGCCTCTTCCCCTCCCTATTTACAAAGCTTTATTTCTGTTTTCTTCTTTTCCGTTCCTCCCTAGCCTCCGCCGCCTTCCCTGGCCCCCCTTCCCATTTGGACTCAATCCTTCTTGAAACTCCGCCTCCCCCTGGCTTTGGTGGCAGGGCCCACTTTGTTCTTGATTCCTTTCCTTCCTCCCTCTCTCCCTCTTATCCTCTCTCACGGTCTCCATCATGTCTGCTTGTTATGTCATTGTCACCCCCTCGTTTCACCCTTGAAACTATCATTTGTCTATCAATCATCTATCTTTTTATTTACAGTATAGTGTTTTATGAAGAACTCATCACAAAATTCACTTTAGCAAAATTAAGACTCGTGGACACTTCAAGGAAGAACAGAGCAGCATCCAGCAGCCAAAAAAAAAAAAAGAAGGCATATACTAAGGTGAGGATAAAATATGCCTGGACAAAAAGAACAGAAGCACGAAGATATGAGATAGTATACAAAGTTTATGGCATTTTTATAAGTCATAAAATGTTTATGACTTTTTTATTTCATTGGAAGAAAGAGGACAGCAAGCTAAGTTTGGGAAGTAAAATTCTTGCATCCCAGCTAAGGAGGTTGAGTTTTGCTGCTTGGGCTAAAAGAGCCACTGAAGGGTTTTAATCAAGGAGCCACAGTTGCTGTGGTCGTCATGTGGAGCATAAATTTTACTGGCCATGGATACGGTGGTGGAGGCCAGTCAAGAGGCCATTCCAGTCACCCAAGGGAGATGACAAGAATTTGAGGATGGAGAGCAGGGGGTCTGCTATGGTTTATATGTAGACATCCTCCAATGCCTCCTGCACTCACGGTGTGGTCTGTGGGAGGTGAATGACCATGAGGGTGTGACACTCGCCAGTGGGTTGGTCCTCTGATAAATGCATAGCCACTGTGATCTTAGGAGGTGAAGCCTGGTGGGAGGAGGTGGCCTGGGAAGGTGTCTCTCTTTTCTTTCCTTGATCAGTTTCTCTGCTTTCTGTCATGTTGTACATGAGTCTTTTCCACTGCCACATCCCTCCACAATGCTGTCCTAGAGCCAGCAGCTATGGACTGGGATCTCTAAAACCGTGAGCCAAGATGAACCTGTCTTTCCTTAGGTTCTGGGTGCTAGGTACTGTGTGTCAGTGATGAGACAGTTACTAAGACAGGGCCAAATACAACCAAATTTAGAACATGTGATGGGCAAGACATAGTGACTGATTTATTAGTTCAAGGTAAGGATGTTAAAGGAATTGAGGGCAAGACTCAGGTTTTGAATACAAAGGACTTCTCCAGTAGTGAACAGAAATATAAATCCTGGGAAAACAAGACGAAAAGAAAATGAGCTCCCTTTGGGGCATGCTGAACTGAAGTGCCCACAGGATATCTACAGTAGTCCCGAAGGCATTTGGTGCCCAGGTTTGGGGCTTGGGAGAGAAGCCCTGTGAAAAGCTGTAGACTTGAAAGTTGACAGTGCACTGGAGGTTTAAAATTCAGGGAGTGATAAAATTACCCAGGAGACGCGTCAGGGGAGAGCAGGGGAGTTCAAGGACACGGGAGTGGTCCACGGCATTAAATGGCAGAGCGAAGTCTGGGCAAATGCCTGAGGGTGTTCTCTGGGTTACAATCCGGAGGTCACTGCTGATGACCTTAGCTGAGAGCAGTCTGAGGCGTGTGGTAGAATCCGGAAGAGTTTGAAACTACCCTTTCAATAAGCATGAATCAGGAGCAGAGCTCATACCGAAGGTACTGGCCAGAGGATTCAGCTTTAGAAAGAATGAAAATCACTCAGCCTGCCCACAGGTGGGAAGCGGAAAGTTCCTATAAAGGGAAAGAGGAAATGGAAGGGAAGGGTGAAAGCTTAGCAAGGAGAGAAGGTTGCCGATGAAGCAAGGGTTCAGAAGACGGGAGCACATGGATCAAGAGTGCTGGTGGAAACACTGAGCTTGGCCGGGAAGAGAAATGCCCGCACTCAGGCTGGAGGCCTTGTCCCAAACCTGTGGGAAGCATGCCACGCATTTTTATTTTATTTTAATTTTTAAATATTTTTTGATTTTTGAGACAGTTCTGCTATGCATTTGGGGCTGGCCTTGAACTCACTTTGTAGCCCAGATTGGCATTAAACTCGTGGCAGTCCTCCTGCCTCAGCCTCCCAGATGCTAGGATTACAGGCATATGCCATGACACACAGCTGCCCCCCAATTTTATAAGAAGACAAATGTCGGTAGACATTTTCCTAATGAAGGTATATAAAGGCTAAATCAACACATAAAACTATGATCAACATCTTAGCAATTCAGAAATGTAAATCAAAACCACAATGAAATGTTATTTTATTCCTACTAAGACAAGGAAAATACAAAATATAATAATAAGTGTTTAAAAATGTGGCGACATCTTAAGTCTCATATTTTGGACAAAAATAAAAATGAAATAATGCAGCTACTTAGGAAATCAGTTTGGCATTTTCTCAAAATGTAGAGAATAAAGTTACCAATAAACCGGCATTGCCGTTCCTAGGCATACACTCAAGAAAATTGAAAACACGTGTCCTTACAATATCCTGTATCTATATTCACAGGATCATTATTCTTTTTAAAAACTTCTTTTAGCATCATTTTTTTTTATCATGGGAGACATTCATATTGGAAGAATGACATTAATATGCAAAGGATACAAAATTTCAGTTAAACAGGAAGACTAAGTTCAAGACATTTGTTATATAACATGGCAGCTATAGTTAATAGTGATTTATTATAGTCAAAAATTGCTAATAAAACAGATTTTTATATTTTAAAGAAAATAAAACAAAACAGAATAAAGCAGGTAAACAGAACAATGCAAGTGATACAGGACTTCAAAACAAGACAACAGGAAATCAACAATGGCTACCATGTCTCTCATTTTCATCAAAATAGCTGTCGATACCATCACACACAGTAAAATCAAACAAACCAATCAAAACAAAAGAATTACAGGACTTCAAAACAAGATAATAGGAAATAAAAATGGCTACCATAATGTCTCTTGTTTCTTTCAAAATAGCTGTCCATTCTATTACACATAATAAAATTAAACCAAACAAAACAGAATAAAACCAATCAAGACAGAAGAATGAAACCATTACAGCAGTTCAAAACAAGATGATAGGAAATCAACAATGACTAACATAATGTCTTGTTTTCTTCAAAATAGCTGTTTACACCTTCACACATCATAAAATCAAACAAAACAGAATAAAACCAAACCTAACAAAATTATGAAACTGATACGAGAATTCAAAACAAAATAATAGGAAATTAATAGTGGTTACCACTTTCTCTTTTTAGGCATTTCCTTCCCTATCACTTTCCTAATATCTCTTGTGGTTTTGGTTCCCACTAATTGCTGCAGGTTTTTATGCTCGGGAGGTAACTCAGTGTTCACCCACATGAGTCCAAACCATTTCACCCAGGAGTATGGTCTCCACTTACACCCCTTACCTACAAGAGCCTTGAGAACATCCTACTTTATAGCTGGGTAGCTTTCCATTATATGAAAATACCGTATCTTTCCTGTACATTTCTGTGGTTGATGGCAACTTACCCTTGCTTTTTTCTGGTCTCTTGTCATGTGGAACAACTATTTCCTCTCCTTTGATTTTCAGTCTACGAATTTCCCTTCAGTCTATGAATATGCTGTATTGATGAATCTTGTTCCTTGATCTACTCTGTGTGTGTGTGTGTGTGTGTGTGTGTGTGTGTGTGAGCTGAGGCCATTTACATTCATGGTTACAGTCAGCGTACACTGGTTCGTCTCTGCCATGCTGTCCTCCTGCTGTTGGCCCTCCACTTGTCCCCTCCATTCAGTTGCCCGTCCTGTTTGGTGATCCTCTTCTGCTGCTGTTCCTGGAACCATGGTTATCTTTATGTCTCTCTAGAATGTCTTTCAGTACTCTCTGTAGAGTTGGTTTGGTGGTTATGAATTCCTTCAGTTGTTCTTTATCATGGAAGTATCTTGTTTTTCCATCAATTTTGGAAGATTGTTGTGTGTGGTACATCAATCTGGGTTGGAGGTTGTTTTCTTTCAGATTTGAAACAGTCCAAGCTCTTCTTAACTTGATAGTTTGTGTTGGCAGGTCTGCTGTCATTCTGGTTGGTTTTCCTTTAGAAGTGATCTGTTTCCCTTCGCTAACAGCTTTTACTGTTCTTGTGCTGAATTTATCTTGCTTAGTATGTCTGGGTGTAAATTGATTTTGGTTGTGGCTATTTGGAGTTCCATATGCCTTGTTTATCTGCACGCCAGATCCTTTCCCCATGTTTGGGAAGTCTTCTGCTATTATTTCTGTAAATAGTCTTTTTATTTCACTTGTGCTGGCCCCTGCCTCTTTGTTGACATCTGTGAGTCTTAAATTATTTTTCTTTGCATTGTTGTGAAGCTGTTGAATTGTTATTTCCTGGTTCCTTGTTATTTTTAAGATTCCTTTCATGATCACTAGCTGCAATCCTGCTTCAAGGTCTGAAAGTCGATCTTTAGTCTCTTTCAAGTGGCTTTGTCACTTTTCAATTGACTTTTTTTTTATTGGTACCAGGGATTGAACTCATGACCACCTGCTTGCAAGGCAGGCGCTTATGCCGCTGAGCTAAATCCCCAGCCCTCAATTGACTTTTTAACTTCCTGGTTGTCTCTTTGAATCTGTTTCATGCATTGTGATCCCATCCTATTTCTCCTTCAAGGTTTTCATTATTTCTGTGCTCCTCTTTTTTTTTTTTAAATCTATGTCTTCTTCAGATAAGCTCAATAATCCTTTCATTATGTTTGTGATTTCATCTTTTATCTGAGACATTATTTCTTATCTGATTACTTTTACAGTCTCACGAAGTTGTGTCTTTACTTCAGTTGCTATCCTCTTGGGAGATTTCAGGTGTGTGACTTCCATTTTCATCCATGACTGTATCGCCCACACTTGTTCTGTGTGGGCTGGAGGTCTGAGACTTCCTTTTTCTCCTTCATCTTGATGTTTTCCTAGGTTCCTCCCAACAAGCCAGCTGGGATCCACGCACTGCCCATGTTGACTGCCCCTTCACAGTGTAGGGGAAGGGCCAGGCACCTGGGTTTCTCTGAAGCCAGGTTCCTAGGGAGGTAGCAGGGTGTGGGGTGGGACTCTCCAGACCTGTGCAGCTACGCTGAGACTTCCCCGATGGCCAGGCACGTGTGGTGGCAGGACTGCTGCTTCTGCCAGCCTGAGTGGCTACACTTGGACTCCCCTGATGGCAGCAGGCACGTGGGTGTGTTTCTCAGATTCTTCCTGTTTGCACTGGCTGCCCAAAGGAAGCAAGGGTCTGCAGTGGCGGCCTGTGGGCACCCAGGGCATACTGGGCTGCGTCTCCCTGCCCACACTGGCTGCCCACAGGAAGCAAGCTCTCCAATGGCGGCAGCAGTGTGCAGTGTGCATCTGACTGCTTCTAGCATCATTATTCTTGATAGCCAAAAAGTAAAAAGCAACCCAGAATACATCAACTGATGAATGGAATAAACAGTGCAGTATATTTATATAATGTGATATTATTTGGCAGTAAAAAGGAATAGAGTATTAATATAAGCTATAACATAAATAAACTTTGAAAATATTATACTAAGTGAAAAAAAGTCCAACACAGAAGGCCACATGTTGTATCATCATTCCATTTATGTGAAATGTTGAAGAAGACTCAGAAAATAAATTAGAGGTTGCTGGTGACCGAGGCAGGGAGAGTAGGGGACACGTACGGAGGGACACAGGGTTTCTTATGAGAATGACGAAACTATTTTGGAATTACATAGTGGTGACAGCAGTATGATCCTATGAATATACTAAAAACACTGAATTAGACCCTCTAAAGGTGCATGTCTCATATGACTTATATTTCAATAATAAAAATAAAGAGCATGATTAACACACTAGCTTTTGTAGAAAAAAGAAGACTTGGAAATGTCTTCTTGCTTTTTCAAAAAAGAATTATAGGGTGGATACATTGAGAAATAATGGAATCATTTGTTTACAAAGAGGAAGGATTGAGAAATAAGATATTTCCTGCTGGATGGCTCTAGCCAATCAATAGATAGATTGAATACAAAAGAAAATTTATTAGCCTATCGCCGCAAACCAGGAGACCAAATAAGGATTTGGTCATACTTTGATTAGCGAGTAGGAATGATCTAAGGGAAAGAAGGGGAAAACATGACACACGTCTTTTGGTTTCCCTCCAAGGTTTCTGACCTACAGTCCTCACAGGTATTATCATTTCCTGGGTGACTAGGATAACTTTGGGGTGCTTTAGGCCTCAGAGGCAGGCTTGCTCCCCTGTGTCCATCTCTGCCTCTGCCTCTCTGTCTGTCTGTCTCCCTCATCCTTTCCTGATCTTTCACTTCCTTCTTTTTCTCCCAAGGCAGGCCATGGACCTCGGAATTTCTTTTCCTCAGGGCAAGTCCCAGAAACTCTCATCATAAGCCCTCTGGCCTGCTGTTTCAGAAGGGGACCTGCCCCCTGGACATCAGGAGGGAATGCGGAGGAATCTGGACAGACAGGCCGCGCTGGTGTCCTCCGGGCTAATCAATTTGATCAGACCCTTCATCTAATCCCATTTCCACACAATTTTCCTCGCTTCATTCAGGCCTGTGTGATGAAATCTCTATAAAAATTCAAAAGACATGTTTGTACCATAAAAATACCCTTTATGATAAACTGGTCAACACTCCAAATGGAGTATTTCTGAGAGTTCTGTGAGCTGCTCTAGCAAATCAATTGAACTGGAGGAGGAGGGTGCAGCCAATTGGTAGCCAGTAGGCCAGAAGTCCTAGAAACCCAGACTTGCAACCAGGTCTCAAGTGGAAACAGTCTTAGGGACTCAAGCCTCAGCCTGTGGGATTGGTTGTTGTCTCTGGAGGGACAGTGTCAGAAATGAGTGGAAAAGGGGCTGGGGATTTAGCTCAGCGGCCTAAGCGCCTGCCTTGCAAGCAGTCAGTCGTGAGTTCGATCCCTGATACTGATAAAAAAAAAAAAAAATTCAAAGAAATCAGTAGAATTAGTGGATGCCCAGCTGCTTCCAGCAAGCTAATTGCTTGCTTGCTGGTGGGAAGAAAACTTCACGCCTTTGGGGTTCACAGAAGTGCTCTGTCTTCTGAATATAGACCATGAGAAGCTGAGTCTGAATTTTTTCCCACAGGTAGGAAGGAGGAAGAAAGGAAGGAATGGGGAAGGGGAAAGGGAGAAGTGGAGGAAGGGAAGCAGGAAAGGAGGCAGGATGGTGCGACACTCACTGGTGGTGGTGCCCCCGCCTCTGCGTCTCCCGGGCCGCCCTGGGCAGCAGATGGCAAGCCTTCTGGCAGGGTGTGGTAAAAGGCTGCCTGCTGAACAGCCACCATCAAAGCGTTTTTCTGAGCGGCCTGGCATGCAAGAATCACCTGCATGTTCTCCACTCCCGAATGGGACAAGAGCTAGAGAGAAAAGACAGGAAAGGCATCAGGAACTGCTCCCGGGAAGTCAGGACAAACTGAGGGCTGAGATCACTGCTAATTCAACATGGGAACTTGTAAGTTAGTGGAAGGCAGGATGAGCTGGGTTCCCTGTCTCTCAGCCATGACAGCGAACCCGTCTGTTCCTGAGCAGCCTCATCCCAGGCAGGAAACCTCTACCCTGTGGTCGGGCACCACGATGCCTCCTCTACGGTCAGGAAAGCACAGGGAGGCTCTGAGGAACTATGTGGACTCAGTAGCAGGCTCTTCTTACAAGCCAAGATTAGGCCAAAGTTTATATATACATAAAATCCAAGTGGCAGGATGTTTTGATTTAGACCTGGAATGTCCCCCTAGTGGTCATGTGTTCAGAGTCAGGGCTTTTGGCGGGTGACTGGATCAGTGAACTGGTCCTCTCTAGGGTCCAGAGCTCAGCGTGCAGTTAGAAATTGGGGTCTGTGCGGAGAAGGCAGATCATGGGGACACGATCCGGATGACTGTACCTCTCTCCGGCACCACCCTCACTCTCCGCTTCCTGGTGGCCATGACGTGAGTGGCCTCCCCCCACCAGGTCCACCCACCGTTTCCTTCCCGCCTTGGGGCCAGCTGACCACGGACTCTCTTCCTTAAAGTTGTGGGTGTCGAGTATTTTGTGCCAGTGGCAAGAAAGTGATGAGGCTCACAGTGATCAAATAGTTCCAGGCTTAAAAAGATCAGCACACAGCTCTAACAGCAAATGTGAAGGTTGAGAACCTCCTGCAAAGATGGTCACTACATGGGTTTCTTTAACATCGCACAGAACTCATTACATGAGCTGCTGCAGGCTCTGTGGTTCAGATCAGGACGGTGTGCACATCACTAAGCAAGGACGGCATTATTATTAATGAAATAAACCTTATAAACAGAAGACAAATGTATCCAAATTAAATATTGATTTTTTTCAAACTATTTGTTTTACTGTAGCTGCATTTACTTATTTATTTTTGGAACTGGAAATTAAACTCAGGACCTTGCACTTGCTAAGCGAGTGCTGTGCCACTAAGCTATATCCCTGGTTCCTGTAGTTTCTTTCTTTCTTTTTCTTTTTCTTTTTCTCTTTTGTACTGGGAATCAAACTCAGGACTTCCTGCTTGGCAGGCAGGTGCTGCACCGCTGAGCTAAATCTCCGGCTCCTATAATTTCTTTTAACAGGGATAAGTATTTACCTTAAGGATGGCTTCTTCTGTATAAAAACTAAATTTGCCAATTTGGTTATCATCCACCTCAGAGATAGCTAAAACAAGAGTACTTGGAGAATATCTGCAAAAAGAAATATGAGGTTGTTTTGAGGCTCCCCATAACTGTACACATGTCATAGTGTATTCTTGCCTTGGGTGCCCTGGAAATGATAGATTGGAATTAACTCACTATAAGTCCAATAACTTTGGATTGTGATGAGGACAGGAAAGGGATCTCAATAAGGAAATAGGAAGACAGATCCTTTGCAAAGAGGAAAGAACCAAGAGATGGAGGGGAAGGGAAAAAGAATTATGGTGTGTTATGTCCATGTACCAGCTGCCCACAAGGAATGTAATCACTGTGTGCTGTACATATGTACTAGTAAAAAGTAAAAGTTTCTGGGCTGGGTGGGGTGATGCATGTCTGTAGTCCAAATTGTTCAGCAAGTTGAGACAAAATGACCACAAATTTTAGGACAGTTTGGGCAACTTAGCCAAGAGTTTTTAAAATAAAAATTTTAGCTGGGCATAGTAGAGGATGCCTGTAATCTCAGCACCAGGGAGGCTGAGGCAGGAGAATCGCTGTAAGTTGGAGGTCAGCTTGGGCTACATAGTGAGTTCAGGATCAGCCTGAACTACATGGTAAGGTCCTGTCTCAAAAAAAAATCATTTAAAAGAGCTAGGGATTTTAGATTAGTGGTAGAGCTAATTAGAGACCTAGCCTTACCTGAGGTCCGATCACATGGAAGCCAAGCCATTCTGGAAACTTTACTTCTTCTTGGTTTCAGGAAAAGTTAAAAGAGACCTGCGTTTTTGATGCGTGGCTCTTGCCCGCTAGATGCCTTTTTATCTGGAAGCACATGTTCTACCTGGGAAGCTACTGAGCCTGTGATTTCACTTGAGTTTCCTTTTTCTCAGTGTCATGGTTTATGTCTGTGTCCCCCAGGCCTCATGAGTTTGCATTGTTCATTTGTGATGGTTCATTGTCTAGTGCTTGGATTGATGGTGTCAGTGCTCCACCCACAAAGGGGTGGAGCCAGGATGTGATGTAATGGCAGGAAGAAGGTGTGTCTTGCTCTTTCCTGATTCGAGTTTGCTGTTGGCGGTCACCATGAACTGCGGCCCAGCCATGCCTGCCTGTCTTGGAGCCAACTGAGTGTGGACTGAAACCTCCAAAAACTGTAAGAAATAAACCTTTCCTTTCCCAACTTTGGGCTTCAGGTATTTTGTCTCAGCAACGAGCATAAAGTAACTAAGACACTCAGTGACTCAGTATTTTTAAATTCAACTTTCCCTTTAACTGAGATCTTATATTCTGTTTTCCTACAAGAAGGAAGGAAGGCAGGAAAAAAGAAAGAGAGAAGGGAAGAGAAGAGAGGGGAGGAAGGAAGGAAGGGAGGGAAGGGGAGGAGAGGGGAGGGGAGGGGAGGGGAGGAGAGGGAAGGGGATGGGAGGGGAGAAACGGATAGATTCTAGCCCAGCCTGTGAACTCAAGTGACTTAGTAAGACCCTGTGTTGAAATAAAAAATACAATGGACTGAGGATGTAACCTAAAGCAAGGGCGCTGGTTTCAATTCGTAGTATTATAAAACAAAACACTGGCACGATGACAACAGAGTCTTAGTGAACTAATTCAGCCATGCAGTAGCATTTGTGTTTCCAAGATGGACAGGAATTACTCTTACTGGCTGTTTATCTTCCATTACGGAACTTTCTTTCTCTTCTTTTTTCCCTTAGAGTATCTGACCCTGTCAAGCTCACCTGTCTACCCGTCCACTGTCCTCCAGCAGGGAAGTCATAAAGACAGGCGCTGATGGGTCCGTCTTGTCTCTATGTGCTGCAAATTCAAACTGAACAGGTCTCAGATACAAGTGGAACTCTTCAAAACCCATCTCTTGTGCCAGTTTCTTATAGAGCCTGAGATGGGGGGAAAAAAAGCAAAAGACGTTTGCTGGTGTTTCCTCCTGAAGGGAAACATAAGGAGCAGAGAAATAAAAAACCCGACAAGCCCCAAAACAAATAAGAGCAAGCCAAAGTCCTGGGTGAGCTGAGTGACCCCAAAGGCCTTGTGTTCTCTTGCGGGTGTCCACCGGACCTCACGAGACAGCTGGAGAGGAGCCTGGGACTGTCATTTCCTCAGGGTGCCCTCTGCTCACAGAGCCTTGTTGAGGGCCACAAGTTGAGGCTGCAGCCAGGAGGCCTTAACGGAGGCCTCAGTGGTCCCTGTAACACCCCGGGGCAGGATTGCAATGCGGAGCACATTCTGGTTCTTTGAGCTCCAAGTAGTAATAAACCTAGGGTTTCCCCCTGGGGAAAGGACTACCCCTTCTTAGCCTGGCACCTCTGCCATTATCAACGTAAAGATCCTCACTAGCTTACGGTCACTGCCACCCTCCGTGTCATCCGATAATCCCTTCATTATGGTGCACGCCCAGTGAACGGTGGCCTGAGTGCCACTGTCTGCTCATCCAGAGGCACTGATCCCTGTCACGCATTACTAAATTTGTCTGTTTCCTGTGTCATCCTTTCTCGGTACTCCTCAAATAGGCAGATGGGGATCTGGTCAGGTTCCCCAGTAAGCCCTCATGAGGTCACTCATAACTGCCCTCTGTCAAGCATTCATATGTGCTGTCAGAGCTCTTCAGAGCTGGCTTCTCTGCCCACTCCATTTATATATTTATGTATTTAATTGTTTTGTCTTTTAAAGATGGATTTCACTATGCAGTCCAGGCTGGCCTTGAACTCACTTTGTAGCTCAGGCTGACCTCGAACTCACCGTGATCCTCTTGCCTCAGCCTCCCAGACTCTGCCTACCTCTTGCAGACTGTCTCAGCTCTGAGTTCCTGATCTCCGTGCTGTACTACTAAGAGCTTCTTCCTCCTTTTCCTTTCAAATTGGGGTGATTCCTGGGGCTCCAGACCACTGGCCCCCTTCCACTATATCTACTTTTGAGGACTTTATTTAACCCCAGGTGCTAAAACCATCCCTTTCCTAAGAATCCGCAAGCCTCCTCTCTGCCCTGATTGAGTTCTGAGCTCAGTCCCCCATTTCCGCGGCTTGCAGCACGTGTGGCTGCGATCGGGGATCTTCACCAGCTCAGCCTTACGTGTCTGTTTTCTCTCTCCCACATGTTCCTGCTCAAACACATTTCTCGTTTTAAGAAGCTGGTGTTTAGGGGGTAAGGATATGGCTCAGTGGCTTAAGTCTCTGCCTGGCAAGTGCAAGGTCCTGAGTTTGATTCTCACATACCAAAAACAAACTGTCAATGTGTTAAGGCTGAGTCCAACTGACACCACTACCCATTTGCCACAGCGGCTTAATCAACAGAAATTTATTGTCTCACAGTTCTGGAGGACAGCAGCCCGAGATTTGGTGTCAGGAAGTTGGTCCCTTCTCTCTCCTTGCCTCTTGTTGATACCTGTCTCCTCCCTGTGCCTTCATGGACTCTGAAAAATTTCCTTCTTACAAGGACATGGGTCCTCCTGGATGAGGTGCATCCTAATAACTTCAGTTCAACTTGATTACTTCTTGAAAAGACCTTTCAATTAAGATCACATCTTGAGGTACTAGGGATTAGTTCTTAAACATATGAATTTTGAAGGGATATAGTTCAACCCATAATTACTGTAATCCAAATATTGTAATGCTTTTTCTGGTCTGCCTCACAATCTGCAAAGTTATGTTTGTAATCCCATAGTAACGTTATTGGAATCCCAGCAAGTTAACTCCAGTCTACCACCTCTAATGCAACCCCACACTGAGAGTAAAGACACCAAGACATATTTAAAGTTGTGGACAACTGAGGGGTCCTAAGGCGGATCCAAGTGAGGATCTATGGACAAAGGCCTTGACCAAGGCCTCTCCGAAAATTCATTATCTCATGAAGAAGGGAGCAGTTCAAGGGTGGGTGACAGTGAGGATGGCGGGAATTATGTAAGCGAGGTGAGCTGAGCTCCCCAGATGGAGAGCAGGCCCCTCTGCAGTACGCAGGGAGAAAGACACGCAGGACCAGTCTGCACAGCTCCACTGGGATGGTATGTGAGTGAATTTAGGAGGCTGCTGCTTCAGTCTCTGACATGTAAACCTTGGTACCTGGGTAGTCATCGACTCTTATTTTGAGGCTCTTGCCCAGCTGACGTTCCTGCAGCTATCTGGCTCTGCCGTCCCACTGTGTTCAACCATTTTACAGGAACACAATTCGAGGAAACAGGAAATTGTTGATTGACCTTAAAGATTACATATCAGTACCTCAGCTGACCTTATTTGCTTTGTTTAGAGCCACCTAAACGGAAAAGGAAATAGCACAGCCAGCTCTGCACATGGAGACATGGCCTGGTTTAAATAATGCAAGGTAATAGTTCTGTATTCAACAGAGTTGTCCACTTGGTCTTCTACATGTAATAATCCTGCTTTTTATGTTTTGTGCTGGGAATTGAATTCAGGACCTCATGCTTACCAGGCAGGTGCTGCCCCACTGAGCTAAATCCCTGGCTTCCATAATATCCATAAAGCTTCTTACATCAAGCTTTCTCCAATCTACCTGGAATGAAATAATTCCTTTCTTGTACTCCCATAGTATTTTGTTCAGATGAGGAGAATATCAGTATTATACAACATTATGGGTCATTTTCACTGTGGGTAATTTGCTTCTCAAGAGCAAAGACCACAAACTGTTGTTTGTGAACTAAAGCATAGTTGGAGAAAGAAAACTATTTTGACTGATGTTTCAAATTCTGCCTTTACTTCTTTTTAGTTATACGATCTGGTGCAAATTATTTAACTTTTGTAAGCTTCTGTTTCCTGGCTAATAAAGTGTTTGTATTTACCTCGTAAGGATGATCTGACAAATGAACTGTACGCATAAATTCTCTGGTAAGGATTCTGGCCACAGCATCTGCTCAATAACAGCTCGTGGACAAATGGACTGTGTTTATAGGACATTTTGTGGGGACCAGAACATGACATACATGTTTGCAACAAACCCTACTTATGCATTTCCGCCTGCTTATGAAATACGTTCACTTGATATCCTCATCTCAGGCTTATAACTGAAGCCTCACTCACTAAGCTCTCTTTTCTCAGGGACTCAAAGACTATCCCTGGCCTTTTCCTCTCCTTTCTCTAGGCCCTCTACTATTCAGCTTCTTTACAGTCAAGAGAAATGTAGCCAGCATTCCTGCAGGACCTAGTGTGGCCCGGCCCTATGCCACCGTTATGTTTCAGCAAGTCTTCAAAGTCTGTGTGCTGGAAACTTCCTAGTACGGCAGTGCTGAGCACAGGCGCTTTAAGAGGGGAGATCAGAGGGAAGCAGGAGTGTGCCTGCAGAAGGATGAGGTTGTCCGCCCCTCTCTTTCCCTCTCCCTCTCTTCCCTTTCTCTTGCGCACCTACATTCAAGAACAAGCTCTGTTGCTCTTCTGCCTTCTGCTGGGGGAGGATGCAGCAAGAAGGACCCTGCAAGCCCTTCAGCCTTGGGCTTGCCAGCCATCAGCACAGTGACAAATATGCCTCTGTGTTTTATAAATTATCCAGTCTTAAGTGTTCCATTACAGCAACACAAAATGGACAGACACCAGGTAATAGAATATCACAGCAAACAACATGCACAGGGCTTTTGCATTCAGGGAGCTTATGCTAGCTGGGAAATTGATAAACTAATATTAAGCATCTAAGTAAACAGACACACACATACTGGATGGAAAGGATACCTGGGTGCTGCTGGGAAGGTCTAGCAAAGCTGAGTGCTCAGAAAGGAACGTGGGGGGGCTCAGAAGAAAGACCAGGAGTAGCAGGTGGCCAGTTAGAAACCCACACACTCTGGCTCCTCTGGGGGCAGAGAGGGCAAAGTGTGCAGGCAGGGAGGCCAGGGCCCGTGAGTAGTTCACGGCCTCTTGCCCAGCGCTCACGTCTGGCCTGGCTCCTTGGCTGCCCCAACTGACCGAGCTAGGTGTGCACTCTCCAGGCTCATGTCCACCAGCCGGTGGCGGAGGGTCAGCAGTTCCAGAAGCTTGGCGAAGGTCTCCAGGAGCAGGACGCGAGCATCGTGGCCCTGGGTGTGCCCTTCGCCCACGGCGGACCCAAGTGCACGCAGGCCGATCTCCTCCACAAGGAAGGGGTCTCCCATCACTTTAGCTGAAAACAGCTGAAAGAAAACAAGGTACTTTGAAAGCCACCCAAGAAGAAACTTTACATACTGTTTAAAAATATCGGTGTCATCAACTCTGGATGTAAATTTCAAGTCCTAGTTCTGACCCAAAGTGGAATTTTAAGCAATGTGCTCAATTTTGTTGTTCCCCGGTTTCCTCATCTAGAGAGTAGGGATGAGGACAATTATGGTCCCTGCCGGACACTAACAGATAATAACAGCGTTGTGGTGAGAGTTGAGATTAGATGCCAAAATATTCACTGTCATAATTATAAATGTTTTGAGTCTAAAGAATAGAAATGACATTTTACAATATTCTATTTTGTTTGATAGTATCAAGTTTGAGGGTATAAGCAACCACTTTGAAGGCAATAAGATATACTATGATACCCATTATGGCTTGACTATTATCTTGTTTTGAAGTCCTGTAATGTCTCCAATGTTTTGGTTTTACTGGTTTTATTCTTTACTGTTTTGGTCAATTCTATTATACCTGATGATATAGGCAACTCTTTTTAAAATAGCAAGAGGCACAGTGGTAACCACTTTTGATCACCTGGTATTCTATTTTTGCATCATGTGCTATGTCCATCCTTCTATTCTAACTGACTCTGTTTTGTTTAGTCACGTTTGGTTTTATTCTCTTCAAAAAAAAAGTAATAAGAACTGTGGGAGTAATAAAACCCAAAAAGTGTAATTGTTATTGTAAAAAAGAGAGGAAAAGAAAGTGGTCTAAAGGATATAACTGCATGTATATCTAAGTGTGTAGGATAGAAAACCATATTACTGAGCTTTTGTTGGATCATTGAACAGAACTGTCTGCAATCTCACTGTATGGATGTCCACTTTGTATGCTTTGATTTTGTAATTTGGACAACTGTTTCTAAGATGACAGTGTGTGGCCTGCTGACTGGTGATTTCTTACTGTATATTTTTTTTCTTGAAATTCTGGATTGCTTGTACCCTTTTACTGCTTTGTTTTTTTATTTCCTTTCTTTTTTCTCTTTAAATAAAAAAAGACTAGAAATGACAAAATAATCTATACAGCAGTCCCTAATTTAAAGCAATATTTTGTTGGCCAATAACAATCATTTGAATAAACTCCTCTAATGAAAGCTGCAAATTTTCATAGTATTTTCACAGATGGCGACTTGTTTTTATTTGCTGCAGGTCCCATGAAGTAGGTATCACTGATACCATATTTTCCTTCACCGCTGAGGCATCTGAAGCAACTCTGAAGCTTTCCAAGGGTCACACAGGGCTAAAGGGTCACAAGACTAAATGTAGCTCCCCAAGTCCACGTGCAGAGGTTTGTGGGTCTCCGGCCGCCTCTGCCTGCCGCAGAGCCAGCCCGCAGCCGACCACACATCCTCTCACCACCCTCCCGGGGCCCCTCGATGCTCTGCCATCTTTGTGTCCTCCACGGCTATTCCCAGGAAGACCTAGTTTGTGGCCCCGTCCCAGCCTGTCCTGTTTTGTGGCCCGAAGTCCACGAGCTTTGGATCACTCTCTTTCCCACCAAAAGACTTGTGTACTCCAGGATGCAGTTCTAGGTTCTTACAGTCTTCTACTTTGATACCACAGAGACAAGTTCTATTAAATGCTTGCATGTCTTCTGAAAGCAACGTTTCCTCCACTTCCTAAGCTAATGCCAAACATTAATCTGACTTTAGCATTTCTAGATCCAAACTGGAACACATGCAAAAAATAATAATCAAACCTGGCAGCAGTAGATTAAATGGGTATCCCAGATATTCATCACAATTCAGAAAAGAATCTCAAATAGGTTTTTAAAAAATCACAGAACAAGACAATGTAAAAAATATCCCCAATACATGGTAGTAGCATAATTGTTGGGTAATTTGGGAAAAAATTCAATTTTGATTCATTACTGACACACCGTATACATACTCTGCCATGAAGTAGTAAAAGAATTTGATTTCATTTTACTTTATTTTATTTATTTTTTGAGACAAGGTCTTGCTGTGTAGTTCAGGGTGGACCTGAACTCACTATTTGAGACCAGCTCAGGCTGCTCTCAAATTCATGGCAATCTTTTTGCCTCAGCCTCCTGAGGGCTGGCATTACAGGTGTATATCACCACCCCTGGCCAGGCGTTATACAGATTTTAAAAATAAAAATAAACCTTTAAAATTAGAATAAAATAAGACAATAAAATTATAATAAAATATGAAACATGTAGAAAAAGATTTTTCCGCATTTCTAAGAATAGAAGAAATCACAAAGGAAATGATTAACAGATTGGATTATATTAAAATAAGAATTTTCTGTTAAAACATAGAAAAAAAAGGCCAGAGATATAGCTCAGCACAGTGCCTGCCTGGCAAGCGTGAAGTCATGAGTTCAATCTCTGGTACCAAAAAAGAAAACAAAAGAAAAAAAAAAAGAAAGATAGAAAAATATTTTCAGACAATGTGATGGACAAAAAGACTGAAGTTTTAGTAACTAAGAATGACCTTAGGATTCCAACGGACGCATAAATAAAAGAAAATCACAGAAAATTCTCAAAAACTACAGCTAACCACAAAACACTTGCAAGAATAACCTCAATAAACTGCAAGCAAAGGCAAACCAGGAGCACAGGCCACCTTTCCTGTGCGTGCGCACACCAGCACACACGTCCTACACTTTCATCTAGACTCCTGCGCCCTGTCGCAGAGGCCACACTTCAGCGTTACTGGTGGCAGTACGGGCTGGCGTACGGTTTTTAGAAGGCAATCTGCCAATATGGATCCAGAGATTTAAATTTCACGTCAGCAATTCTCCTTCCAAGATTCTGTCAAAAGGAATCAACTCAAAACATGGAAAAATCTGTAAGCATACAAATGTAACTTGTAGCATCTTCATAATGAAAAACAAAATTGCTTAAATGACCACCAGCAGAGAAATGGCTAGAGGAGTACGATTTATCACGTAAGAGAATTATGTGGTCATGAGGCTGAACTAAAGATTAATTAGTAATATGAAAAATACATTCTACTGAGAAAAATATGTCAGTGTACAAAGTACACGTCTGTGTAAAAGAGTCACACGAAGAATATCTGAATTTGGAAAAGGGTATGAATGCATTTGAGTGGTTAGCCATATTTCTTCTTTTGCTAAAATTCTCTGTAAGTTTGATTTCATCAACTGAAAATTAATTTAAAATAAAACTGAATGTTAGTTTGGGCAGGAGGGCACAGGAGGCCAAGGCAGAACCACAGAGCAGATGAATTTTGACAGCCCGAGTCCTTGAACGTTCCTCTGTCATACAGCAAGTGACCACAGAATAAAGAGAAATTGAAAACCACACTCAATCTTGATAGCATTAATTGAGAAACAAAAGCATTAAAACCCAAGTACAGATACGATAGAAATCAGGCCACAGAGGGAACCATCAGATAAGGGGTGCTACAGATTGTTAAATTCTTCTCCACTGATTTCCCCTCAAATATGCACATAGTGTTTTACAGGAGGAAGGCCAGGCTCAGAGGGCTACAATCCTTGTTTGAAATCACACAGCCAGTTAATGGCAGGGCTGCACTTGAGTCTAAGTCATGGCTTCCTATTTTCTCCCCCGAATCAGAATTTGACTCAAGACAACCAAAAGCAGATTTTAGGAAGAGTCTTAGTGGGAAGAAGACATATAAGTTTTAATTTAAAATGCGTATTGTTAAACCGTAAACAATAAAGTAGAAAACATTTTTCGCATACTTACATAATCCCTTTAATTTTTAACTTTAGCAGCATTCTTATATACTAGAAAATTTGACCCCAAAATTATATAAAAATGTTGGCAAGGCCCATGACCGTTCTTTATCCCTGGCCAAATAGGAATAAAGCCAAACAGAGAAATAAAGCTAAATAGTCACATCTGGAAGGAAATGTTGGCTTTGCCAAGGACCGAATCGTCCCCTGCAGAAAGAACCCACATCTCTCTGGAGCTGCGCGCTGTACCAGGCCTCGGGCTTGGTCGGGGTCAGCCACAGGTCCAGGGCCAGCTGCAGGACACGTCGCTCCAGCCGGGCACGGGCGCTGGGTGATGCGGGCCGGTGGGTGCGGTGGGCCTGGCTCTGCAGGTGCTCCAGGGCCCGGGGGATGAGCCCCGCCAGGCCCAGGGAGGGGTGGAACTCCAGCAGGTGCATGCTTCTCAGGGCTGGGCTTGGAGGAGAGCAAAAGGGATGACAGTCTTACACACCTAGTGCCTTTCTGAAGATAACTGAATTCATACTGTTAAAGACCAACAATGTGGCTTCCATGGGTTCCCAGCTTTATACAGAACCCAGCGATTATTCAGGGACCCTCCAGGGTCACATATGCTCTTGGCTTTAATGTGAATCCTTCAAAACTGAAAGAAATAGGTGCATACTCTCAAAGCCCAAGAGGAGTAAGACTTATGCAGCAAAAATGTCAAATCTCAGTAATCAATACGTAGCCATGTATCTGAGAACAAAACAATGCCCAATACAAATGGGTAAATAAAAAATACTGTGCATGGTTGTTAGTTTCTACTTGTCCACCTAAATTTTTATCCCCTCCCCCAGCATGTTAATGGATAAAGGCAATTTTTTAATTCTATATGCAAAATCCTGGAATCATTCATATTTGCTGTAAAGATGTTACACTTTAGAAGTGCATGAGACCAGAAACAATGAAACATTCAGCTGTGGGCTATTCCTTTGGAAATAAAGAACACAGCACAAGTCAAGGGTCTTTCAATACGAAGGGAGGACTGAAGACCATAAATATTTCCCTTTAATCTACGCAAATGGAATTTTCCTTGCTAGATCCTCAAAAAATATAGCAAAATCTGGAAATGATCTCCTCAAGCAAATCATATTTACTTTTAGACTATTCTGACAGGTCTTAGTATCTGTACAGCTTTAGCCTGTTTGGTCAAATATCATTTCCTGAAGAGTAGATTCTTCCCACAGCTGGTGTCTTGAGCTCATTCTAGTGAAGAGATCAGTCACAGGAAAGGTCTTTGGGAAAAATAGAGGACTCTTTCTCAAGAAACAAGGTTAGAAAATTAACTGTTAATCCTTTCTCGTTCCCGGGATGACGCCATAACCCACCATGGCCATTTCTTAGGTGATGTCTGCCTTTGCTACAGAAGTGCACACGTCTCCACCCACTCGAAGGCAAAGGGGACATTTGATCTAGGGCTACACAGACGGGCCTGGGGCTTATCACCTGCTTCCCACGCGATGCCTGGTGGGGAAGTCAGCATTTTGTGTACCCACTCTGAGAGGTCTCCGGAAATGAAACTCTGCTCTTAGAGGTGTGAGGTCATAAGGCAGATCTCCCAGAATCCTCTTTAATTGGCCCATGTTAGAATAAAATTCTTCTTTGAGAAATTCTTAAGCACATCTAAATTTCAGATGTGGGCTGCATGCAACAGAACTACTTTTTCTCCAGAACTTTTCCAAGGAAAAGTAATTCTTCATCCAGTGACAAAAGTTTAAATTCTGACACCTATTCTTTTATGTATGAAGCAGCAGAGTCAATATTCAAGGGAATTATTCTACTTCAGCCTTTAGTTTCCTTTCTTTTCTTTTAGACAGGCTCTAGGGGTCTAGCTTGTCATTCATGTAGCTCAGGATTATCTTGAACTGGCTGTCTCCTGCCTCAGCCTCCTAAGTCCTGAGATAATAGATATTTGCCACCATGTCCACTTCTGAAGCTTTTACACACACCTCTCATCTCCCCAAACAGGAGAGGTGCTTTATAGAACAGTATTTACATTTCACACCAGTCTCTTAATTAATCTAGAAGATAAACTGTAGAATGCACCCACTTACCAGATGTTACTGATAGAATTTGGTTGCTGACAAACTATGTTAAGGGGTATTCCGAATGTATTCTGAACATCTGGGTGATCGTCTCTCCAAAGCCTCTGGACGTATTCTGTCTGATTCTCTATCTAAAAATGTAGCATAAGCCATAAAATTAGAAGAGTTAAGCTTTTCCATAGGCACAAGCGGGCTTTGCTATGAGAAGGCTATCCGCCCTTTGAAACTATCATTTGACTAATTTTTCACCAAGACATTGTTTTCCAGACCCATTTACAATGAGACATGCTGGTCTGAGAAATCTGAACCAAGAATCAGCCAAAGAAAGCAAAGATAACTCATTTCTGTCTGTCAAATAATTCACTGTATAGAAAAAAATTCTAACTATGTTTGTGTCCTGAGTGCTTACTGCTTAGCTTTTCCCTGGAAGACACAGAATGTGGTTATTTCTTTCAGAGGCACATCAAAAAACAAACAAAGAAACACAATTTTATACACCAACATCTTAAAAAGATGTATTCTTAGTTAGTATTTCACTACTGACAAACTCTATTGTCTAATGAAAATCGAGGTGAACAGTTTCATGTTGACCATTAACTACAACTAGGATCAGAAATCTCCCTTTAAGACTAAAGTTATGCTTGGAATTCAGCAATGCAAATGAGCTTACAAATAAACATGCTGTACATGGCCCCTAGAAAACCCAGATTCTGGACCTGTAATGAGAGAAAAATATTGTGTTTGTTTCTAGTTCCTATTTTTCATCCACTATGAATGTACAACATTTATTTATATATTCATTCTTTTTAGAGTCTTGCTATGCTGTCTAGGCTGGACTTGAACTCACTATGTAGCCCAGGCTGGCCTCCCATTCAGTGTTCCTCCTGCCTCAGCCTCCTGAGTGCTGGGATTACGGGTGTGCACCACCACGCCCAGTTCTGAACATGCAATATTTAAAATCCTACTCACTTGTTGGTTGAGGATGCTCCTCACTAGCTGCAGGTGAAGCCTCAGGCAGACGCACTCTTCTTTGTAGGCCTTAATGAAATAAGGGTGGTCTAGATCGAATTTGGGGCGTTGGTGCATAATGTCAGTTATCACTTGTGCTAAGGCAAACCTCTCCTCGGGGTCCAAAGCATGTTGGTAGGCTTCAAAGTAACAATCTAGAAGCTGAAAAGATGCTGGTAGTTAGGGACAGTAGAGGCAGCCCGAGGACCCAGCAAAGGGAAGGGAGGCCCCACCCAGGCTTCGGTGAGCCAGGCCTCAGCAGGACACACAGCCTGATCCTTGGGGACTGAGGGACCCTGGGATGGCAGAGGCGGCACATACTAACCGCACAGTTAGAGAACCCACAGACAGTCGGGGAGACGAGGAAAAGGACGCACTCTGAGGCCAGAAGTGGACCTACGCTCTGCCTCTGTGTTTGTCCACTTTTACTGTCTACGAAAGGAGAGCTATGTATTAATAACGTAATGATGCAGTAACCGTGCACTGCTGTGAGACCATGTATCCAGAGGTGCCTCACCAAGTGGTTACCACTCCTACGAGCCCACCTGCCTCTTGTCTGCCTAGTTACTTCAAAATTCTCCCTCGGGCTAAGGTGGTTTACACCTACACCGGGTCCTCACTTCCTTGCTGTGAAGGCCTCCGTGTAGATTCACGGTGAACTCTGCTCTCTTCCTCCGTTTCCGTTTCTGCACCCAAACCCTGAAGCTGAGGGTACAGGAGAAAGCTTTGCTTCCTCCACGTGAGAAAGTTGAACCCTTGAGAAAGAAAAGCACCCTAAGAAACAAATACTGCGTTGAGAGAGGCTCAGGCAGTGGTCAATACTTAGGCTCGAAGAGGAAGAGCCTTTCTGTAGCACCTGATCTTATGGGGCGAAGCTTATTTTGAAAAGGAAAACTCAACATGTTGTATCTTACTATATTTCACTATATGCGATAGTATAAACAACATTTTTTATAGGTAAAGAGATAATATAGAAACCGTTGTTCGTTTTCCATTAGCTGGTTCTAAATACCCTGTAATTCTTGCATTCTCTTGAATGGCTTCACACTGTCTTGATATGCTTGATGCTATAGCATCCGAAGTTACACTCAAATAATTCAAGGAAAGAGGCACTATGGTGACTACTATTATGTTAGACTATCTGGGGGTGAAACACAATGATGCTTAAATTGTTCGGTTCTGACCTGTGTTGTTCTGTTACAACGTCCTCTCTTATCTCAATCTCCCCCCCTTTTTTTTTAAATTAATCTATTTTCTCTCATTTTTTTAATTAAGGGAAAACTGAATTAAAAATAGTGGGACATATTATAGTAACTTTTTTGTTTTCCTATTAACCTGATTTGAACCCCAGTATTGCTCTCTCCATCTTGTTCTGTCTGATTATTCTATATTCTATTTTGTTTGATAGTATCAAGTTTGAGGGTATAGGCAGCCACTTTGAAGGCAATAAGATATACTATGATGCCCATTATGGTTTGACTATTACCTTTTTTGAAGTCCTGTAAGGTCTCCAGTGTAGGTTTTATTGGTCTTGTTCTGTACTGTTTTGATCAATTCTATTATACCTGATGATACAGACAACTCAATTTAAAAATAGCAAGAGGCACAATGGTAACTATTTTTGATCACCTGATATTCTATTTTTGCATCATGTACTATGCCCATCCTTCTGTTCTGACTCTGTTTTGCTTAGTCGCATTTGGTTTTATTCTCTTCAAAAAAAGTAATAAGAACTTTGGGAGCAATAAAACCCAAAAAGTATAATTGTTATTGTAAAAAAGAGAGGAAAGGAAGGTGGACTAAGGGATATAACCGCAGGTATGTTTGAGTGTGTAGGATGGAAAACCATATTACTGAGCTTTTGTTAATCACTGAACGGAACTGTCTCCAATATCACTGTATGAATGTCCACTTTATATGCTTTAATTTTATAATTTGGACAACTGTTTCTAGGAAGACAATATGTAACCTATTAACTAGTGATTTCTTACTGTATATTTTTTTCTTGAAATTCTGTATTACTTGTACCCTTTTACTGCTTTGTTTTTTTATGTCCTTTCTTTTTTCTCTTTAAATAAAAAAGAAAGAAAGAAAGTAAGAAAGAAAGAAAGAAAGAAAAGAAAAACTCCGCAGGAGGCCAGATCCCTAAGGGCTGCAAACCAGGAGGATGCGCTGCCCCCCCCCAAGTGGGTTCTGCGGAAAATGAGGACAGCAGGGTGGTCTCGGTCCCCTTGCTCCATTCACCAGAGCCCCACTTTAGAATAATATTTGCTTATTAAATAGCAGAAGGGGTAAGAAGGGGATCACTGAGGAGCCCCAGGGAGGAATTAGGAAGAAAACAATTACTTGCCTAATTCACTAGGGACCAATGTGGGCCCATTTGTCAGGGCCGGTCAAGCCCAGGAGCTGGTGGACATATTCATGCTTCCTTGACTTGTTTGTGGACAAAGAGCCCAACTGTTTGGTTATTTGGCAGGAGCAGTTTGTAGGGAGCCTGAAGCAGCCCAATCCGGTGATGCCATGCTGCGGTGGCCCGTGCTAAATGGCGAGATGGTGATTGTTGATGGCATTGTCAGATTTAACTAATAAAAACATAGGACCCCCAGGCCAATTTGAATTTCAGAGAAATAATGAATGCATTTTCGGCACAGCATGTCCCAAATAGTGAAATATTTTATCTGGTAGCCTTTGCTGTCAAGAAGGAAATGTGACTCTTTTTAAATTGATAAGGCTTTTTTCTCAGCTTGATATTCACCCTCGAAAAGTTCTCCAGTGGCCCCTTGCACGATGTTATTATGAATTCGTTCCCCACAGCAATGGGACATGGTCTTGCTGGTTCATAGTTTCTATTTATTATCTGTTTGCTAACTGGTCCGTTTCCATTTAAGCTCTGGGTTGCTATTTGTCTAAGAAGTCTTTTCAGGCTGTCAAATGTCACCTGTGTGTATCAAGGGCTGACTCTGAGGCAAAATAATATGTTGTACACACTAAGAGCAGGCAGAAGACTCTCAAACATTACTGTATTTACATTATTTTTACCCCAAACCTTTTTCTATTTCTGGGATTTAAAAATGTTTAAAAATAGTGTTTCAGGTCAAACGAAAGAACAAAACAGGAAATCAGTGCTACGCACAGCTTGTTACTGGATTTTTTCTTTTCAAAAGAATACAGAAGGACGCTTTTAGGGCCACGTGTATGAACTTCAGTGACCCTGTCGGGGTGCCTCTTGGTGGCCGCTCAGAGAATTAGCAGACAGTTCAGGAACACTCGGGAACTGGAGCAGCCCATACCTGGCTCCTCTGAGTCTTTCATCCGCTCAGCCAGACAGCAGTTCTAATTTTATGAGCCTTCATATGTAATATGGATATTTTAATGATTTAAAAGGACCCAATATGTCCAAGCAATTCTTTAGTAGTGATACCAATATAGTTAACAATCAGAAACAGCTGGGGGGGGGGGGTGCTTGGCGAGGACTCAGTGCCGGGGGAAATCAATTGTATTTTAGATAGAAATCTGGCTTAGCTCTCAAAAACAGGCTCTTTTGACAGAATTTCTAACTTGGAAGGCCATATTTTACAACTTTGGCAGAGACAGCTCATTTTCTATAGGGAATTTATTCTCAGGATAGAAATGAGGGAGATATTTTCAACAATTGTTTCAAATTAAAATAGTTTAGTTTGTCCTAGAAAGAACTAGAGAACAGTCCTGGTAGCTAGAATGAACTGTAGGTTAAAGTTTGGGGAAACTGGTTTGCCTTTTAATTTTTTTTTTTTTTTTTTTTTTTTTTTTTTTTTTTTTGAGATGGGGTCTCGCTGTGTAGTTCAGATTGTGGCCGTGAGTTCACTATGTAGCCCAGGTTGGCTCGGAACTCACAGTGATCCTCCTGACTCAGTCTCCTGAGTGCTGGGGTTACAGACACTCACTGGCTGCACTGCCCAGCTGCCATCAGTTCTGCCTGGGGACTCCACGGGAGACGTGAGGCATTAAATGGAAGGGGGGCAGAGAGAGTACAGGAAAGGGGATTGTTTAAAATGCAGGCCTGGACCCAGCAAACTTTGCAAGTTTAGGATTTTGACTTGTTTACATTTAATACAGATTTTCCAATTACTGCACTGAGTCTAAATCTCTCTTTATTGATTCGATTAAAGTTAGGCTGTAATTGGCAGGTCAAAGCTTTAAACAACCCCGTAGAAACCAGTTATTTTTGAAAAGAGGAACTCTTTTTCAAAGCCTAAGCCTGTATCTTTGAAACCAAGGCAGCTGTTTAAAAAATGAGGCGACCAGCATCTCCACGGGTAACAGAGCAGAAAGTCGGTGAAATGGTAAACCATCCATTCTGCTGGGAAACAATTCAGAGAAAACCACCTCCACTTCCCCCTCTTCAGACCACATCACAGTGCACTGTCAGAGGCTGCCGCGCCCCCAGCTCCCCCACGAGAGCCCTGCACAGCTGCCGGCCACCTGAGCGCTGCCCCACTGCGGGGCTGTCAGCTGCACGCTGGCCGCGTCCTCTCCTGCTCACAATGCTGCCGCCCTGGTCTCCCCCAGTCCACTGCCTACACCTTTTAGTCCTGTGACCTGCTTCTGAGGTGTGGGCGTTTTCAGGGACCCACTCAGACACCTCTGGCTTTTCCCACTTGTTTTGACCATTGGTTCCACTTCTGCATTTATACCTCAGCTCACACCTGCTCTGGAGCTTACACCCGGCTTCTAGCAAAGCCCCTCAAATGCCTCCTGTCGTGACCTAGAGCGGGTATTACTTTCTCTCCTGCTGCACTGTGCTTCAGGGAATGGCCTCCTTCTTGACCCCACAAAGAGCTGTAAAATCCACCCTGGGCTCTGTTCCCCCAATATCTCCATCTGGTCTCCAAATTCTGCCCTTCCGCTTTACTGTATTCCCGGGACTGCTCCTCTCTCCTGCTCTGACTGCCACATCCTTAATGCAAGGCTCCCCTAAGTCTTCAGGTCACTGTTGAAATCACTGCACTTCTTTTCCAGGGGGACTTTCTATTCCATCTGTTCTGTACTCTGACACCAAGACAAAGTCATCACCATGTTTATTATCCATGAAAGTTCACCAGGGCTGCTGCTTTGCTTGTAGGGTAAACCCTGAAATATCATGAGTCGTACCTGTTATATTCAACACCCAAAACACGTTTGGATCCTTTTCTTTAATACCTTCCTGTGCTGGCCTCAGCAGTCTCCTTAGATTCTCACTGGCCACTCCCGCATGACCCTTCCGTGGCATTGTTCATGAGGCCTCCTCTGCTTAAGAGTCTTATTTTCTGTGTCATGAAGTATCTAACTCTTTTAACAACAAGCTTAAATACTATTCTTCTTAGCACTCTCTCTGCTCTGACAACCCCCTCCTCGAGGTAAATCTCTCCCTGCAGGGTCCCCATGACTTCCGACTGGCCCTCGGTTCTTACCTGTTCACCACTGGTTATGCTTTTTGCTTAGATAGTGAACCAATTTGTGTAGATCATAAAGTCTCCAAAGATAGAAAACAGCTCCTATTTACATGTCCCTAAGAGTACCTCAAAGTACTCAACGTTTGATGAATGAACTCCTAAGAACCAGTGATTATCAAAAGGGCGAAAAAATTCTTGCTAAAGCAGCACACCAGCCGTGCTTCAGTTATTACTGAAGTGGGAACCAGTAATGACACGACTGCTGGTTTTGTAACCTGCTGTCTCATTGCTTCCTACTCAGCCTGTAACCTGCATGCAACACCCCTGACCGGCTGCTCTCCCTGAGTGTCGAGGTTTTAAAGGCCGTGGGTGAGTCAGTAGGTCTGTGTTTAGCAAAGCGAAACTTGTCCCTCTGACTAGATAATGAGTGTGAGTGGACTCACTGTCCACCGTCGCTAACAGCACACTACGATGAGAGGCCTGAGTTAGCAAGTTCTCTGACAAATACACATGCAAGATAAAGCTCTGTCCTCCACACTTTTTGGTGACAAAGAACCACAGTAAAGAAAACCAATTCATTACATCATTTTACTGTACGTAGCTGCAACTATTTATATAAAATATTATTTGCTTTATTGAGCATTTCCCTAAAAGTCTCACTCAGAGAAAGAAAGAAAGAAAGAAAGAAAGAAAGAAAGAAAGAAAGAAAGAAAGAAAGAAAGAAAGAAAAAGTCACCACGTTGTATAAGAATGACTTTTGGGGCTGGGGATTTAGCTCAGCAGCATAAATGCCTGCCTTGCAAGCAGGCAGTTGTGAGTTCGATCCCTGGTACCGATAAAAAGGAAAAAGACAAAAAAAAAAAAAGAGGAAAGAATGACTTTTAACGGTTGTTTTTGTCTTCAGTAAAAAGTACCTGGTGTTTGTTTCCTAGAAAAGCTGCTTCCCAAGTCCACAAGTCATACAGCACAGCAAACCTGTCCACGCTTGCCTGGGTCCATCCCCAGGCCTGGTTACTCTCCGACGAGCTGCTCTTTTTGGCACCTGGCAGGGGAGGGTTGGATGATCAGAGATGGGCTTTCCAGAAAAGCTGCTTCTAGTGATCTGTCCCCGCGGCTTCTCAGCCCCGTCTCAGGAAGGGACATAGTGAGCCAGTCACCAGAATTCCTGAAAGCCAGCCATTGGCAGAGAGGAGGCACTAAATTCATACTTGTTGACTTTTAATTCAACAGGAGTTCTTATTTTTACTTTCTCATTTAGAGACTAATTTTAGAAATAAACTCAAAATTCAACCAACATGACATCTATGCTAAAATGTCTTCAGACTTATAACTTCATGAGCAGAACATACATTTCTCCTTTTCAAAGACAAGTCCTTGATGTTTTAACAACAAACCAAGTTTAAAAGTTATTTCTATGAATGTTAGCTAAGTCAAATGTTTTCAAACATATTTCCAAGATGATGCTTAATTATATTAATCACTAAAATCAGTCAAGTGAATCACTGTCATTATTCACTTAAAATACTTTTCATTATGGTAATGTTAGTTTGTGCTATCAGCATTATCACAAATCTCTAAGTTCCTACTTCAGAGAAAGGATCATAAAGTAAGAGATGGAGAAGGGAATACTTAGCAAGCACATGCTGGGTGCTCAGCCTTGGCTCAGGAACTTTCCTAGTCCAATTGGGCAATCGTCCCACCGAGCATGACTACACATGTCTAAGCTAGGGGGAACATGCCATGTGCTTAAGTGACTACTGACCACGGGTTTTGGTCAAATTGCATTCTGAGTAATATGGTATTTATACATTAATATGGACAGAAAGCATGCACTGGTATGGAGGAAAATCCACAAAGGTAAAAGCTAAACGCTGAGGTTAAATGTGCTGGAGTACTGGGTGGTACTATTATATTCCGTGATTCAGATACAATTGGCCGTAGCAAAGAGGACAGCTGTCAGTCTTATAGTACTCTAATTTTGTATGAGATCCAAAGGTTAACTGTCAAAGCTTCTTTAAGCAGCTTTTTTTTAACCACATAAAGGAATATAAAACTACTGACCACTGTTCACCATTATTTACAATAAAGTAAAGAATATACAACAGAACAACATCCTGACTACTGCTGTACACTAGCAAAAAAAGCTTCATTATGTTTGTATTATGCCAAAGTACCTGTAACGCTGCCTACTGTTCTGTATGCATTTTGTTTTCCCCTCTGGGTGACCTAATTAATATGTTAATCAATGCTCCCTTCGGTAAGGAACTGTAAATCCCTGGGAAGCTAACCTAGTTGATATGTTAACCATTGTTGCCCTCTACAAATAACAGATGTGGTGCTCAAATAAGCTGACAAAGGATTCTTAATTACTGCTAGACTACTCTGTCCTCTGCTAAGGAAATACTTTCCCTAGCAGATTTCCTGATCCACGCCCGTAACCCCTTACTTTGTAAACTGTGCTTTCTACAAAAGGTCTAAAAAGTTTTGAGGGAGACACACAGCTTTTGCAAACTCCAACTGCACTGTGTTGCTGGGCCCAGGATAAAATAAATCAGCACTGCTTTTTTAAAACATGTCTTGCCCATTTTTGAACTTGAAGTTGGGCTCTGGGGGGTTCGTTTGTGGATTACAAGAACTTCTACCAAGTTGTTTTCTTGGCTTCTGCTGAAAACAGTAAGTCAAACACTGAAAAGATTGAGCCTGCATGTAAGGGACAAGTTGGGGTCAAGAAAAACACGCGGGTCAGTAATTCAGGTTACAAGTTTGTTCAGTCAGCTGTCAGATACAGATTTTCTTTTTGTATCGTCTTTTTTTTTTTTTTTTTTTTTTTTTTACCAGCGTTTCGAGAATTAAGAAATGCTTCAAGTAATTGTGGACGATCTAAATCTCCTTCAGGTTCCCGTGGATTGTCAGCATCTGTAAATTCCTCCCACTTAGAGAAGCCTCCTCCTTCCCATGCACTATGCATCGGTCCAGGACTTTTTTCCCCACAAATTCCTCAGGCTCTGCTTCCTCAGCTTTTTTAGTTCTTCCATTTTGTTTCTGTCCTGTTTTTTGAAGTGTAGTTTTGTTGATGCCGTTTTTTATTGCGCCTCGGTGCTCAGTCTCGGCCTGAGCGCCTGCAGCTCCACTCACTTCCTGTAAGCAGCTTTTTATAGCAATATAAACGTGACTTATCCTTAATTACGGCCTCTACGTATTACAGAGTAACACAGACCCTCGCTCAATTCCCTTTTAGGTGTAGCGAAGTGTCTAGAAATTCTCAGCTCTTTCCAAGTATAATGCTAATGCTATCCTATGATTCCAAAAGAAATACTCTTACCCTATCCATTTCTAAAATTGGAAATTTGAGATGATGGTGCCAAAGGAAAGGAGAACACAGATCATGGGTTACTTATTAGCCTGAGTAATGGTTGTTCTCCCTCGAGCTTGAAGGACATTTTCCTTGCCACATCTTTTTGCATCTTGGTGGTTTCCTGTTAGGGACCCATGTTCTCTCTGCTTCTAAATGCAGTTCCTCAAGGTCAGCTGCTTAGGAAAAAACTCATTTCATTTGCTTTCTTCAGGGCCCAGTGACACACCCGCTGGACTCTGGGGTGATACAGAAATGCCCTTATAAAAGACCAGCCACAGCCTGCCTGAGAAGGAGAAGTGAACCAGAAAAAGAACTGTACCTTTCCTAAGGTCAGCGTATGCTGGGGTAGGGGTGGTGTGTACTTACCGACTGTATAGATCCTATTGGATATGTGTTTAATATGTTGGGTGGAGAGAGTTAAATATGGCTCTTAGGGATTTTTGTTAACTGGTTGACTTTTTAAATCTATTTTTTAGAAAAGAGTATAAATTTATATTTTATGAATACATGTTTACAGTACAAAATGATTACATTCACCATGGGGAGTTGGGATACATACATAATATATTTTAATTATTTTTTTAAAATCCCTTCTCCTCCCTCCCCAAAAGAGTATAAAATTAGCAACGTGATTATGAGCCCAAACTCCAGGTATCTGTTTCAGTTCCCTGCCAGTGTGCTACACATTTGCCTGGTGTGCCACACACTTGGCTGGTGTGCCACACACTTGCCTGGTGTGCCACACACTTGCCCGGTGAAGACATGCTCAGGAATGAGGACTCAAAAGGAAACTGCAGAAATCACTCAGAAGTGGTTTGTGTCTGGCTTGTTCCCCTCTCCTTCTGTGTTTTAAGTTTTCTGGCACATTTTAGGCATACATAATGATCCCATTCACCACAGGGACTTTGCACCTGTACATGATATATGCTGATTCCGTTCCGTCCCATTCCTCTACCAGTTGATTTTTTCCAAACTCTGACCTCTTACCTTTTTCTTTCTTAATATAATGGCTGCCCACCAGCAGCAGCTCTGCCTCCAGGTCCTGCAGGTCCCTCAAGGCCTCGTCATACATGACGTACGCCCCTTGCTGGTCCTGGGTGTGGATACAGCCGGCCCCTACGCTGTAGTGGTCATCCTGGTTGTCCACTTCCGAAAACTCCATGAACTGGATGCTATGGACCTGAGCAAAGGAAACCAAGTCCAGAAGTTAGGAAAGGGAGAGCTATGGTTTTCTTAGCCTAAACAGACCAGGCGGCAGGCTTCTCACACACAGTGGGCTGTCAACACGGGGCTGATATTGTAAATGTATAAGAAAGCAGTATGCACAGAAAAATATATGAACAAGAATGGTGGTAAGGAGGGGTAGATTCTGAGGTGGATAATTAGCTGATAAATTTGTTTTTCGGATCAATTCAAGAGCAACTAGAGAAGGGCAGCTCATGGAGCCCACTGCAAAGGCAGTCTCTGGAGTCCAGAGTGCTGACTGCAGCCCCGACTGCCAGGATACCACCCTGGGGCAGCTCCAAGCTACAGTGAGGTCCCATTCCCTCATCTATAAAACAGGGACAGTGCAAATGTCATGCACACAATAGTTGTGGAGAGCGTGTGACACTACACAGGCAAGGCACTTCGGATCATAAACATTAGCTATTGACAACATCTTTGTTGAATTCTCGAAGTACTTCTAAGATCCATTAGCACAGTGTCATGTACTGAGTTGAACAGTATCTCCTGAAATCCGTGTCCACCTGGAACTTGTGAAGGAGACCTTACTGGATGCAATGTTTTGCAGGTATAATTAGAGATGAGGGTGTAACAATGAGGGAAATTTGGAGGCACCCTTCGAGGATAAGACAGGCAGAGACAGGCCAAGATTAGCGTGACGTAGCTGTAGTTCAAGAAGGACTACAGATTGGCAAGGATCGCCAGCAACTACCAGAAGCCAGGAGATGTCAGGAAGGATATTCGTAGAGCCTTCAACATTTTGATTTGGCAGTTGCAGCTTTCAGATCCAGGAGAAAAGAAATTACTCCGTTTGTGGTACTCTGTGATAGCAGGCTTAGGAAACTGGTACCAGGAAGGGGTTTTCAAAGGTGTTATTTTTCTTGGACACCTGAGGGCTTGCTGCTTTCTAAGAATTGTAATGAGTCTCACTCCTTCCTGTTCCTGGCTACACCTCGCTCCTGGCCTGTCAAATTCTGCTTTCCTCCTGCCTTGGTCTCTAAGGCTTTGCCCTTGCTTTGACTCCCACTCCTCCCGCCTTGGAAGGATCAGTTCCCTTCGTGCATCTCCCAGTAGCCACTGACATGTTCACCTCCCTCCTGCTTAAAGCATCTCCACATTTCCCCAGTGCAGCTTTTGTCTCTCGGGGTCTAACCCCTCAGGATGTAATCTATGACGTCTCCACTTCCTCACCTCCTGGCCCCATCAAACCACCTCAGCCACTCTGCAAAGAGACCAACAGTGGCCCTAACTTTGTCTCCAGCAAACACCCTTTAGTCACCCATGACCTCTCAGGATTACTCAGTACAGGTTAGTACTGTCTGATTAACCCACTCTTCCCTGGGTGCCTGGCACTCCACATTTTCCTGAATCTCCCCAGTTTTCTAGCGAGTTGCTCTCTGCACCTCGAGGTGTAGTTCTCTCTATGAAGTCACTAAATGATGGCCACCCAAGACTCACTTCTGGGGGTTCATCTTTTCCACCTATGTTTCTTCCCCAGGCATTGACATACATTTCCACCACTTACACATATGATGTCACCTTTAGAACGTCTGCTCCCCCAGTTAGATCTGAAAGTGCAGACTCCTAGCACCCCAGACCCACACGTCTATTTGTTGGGTGTGTGTTCTTGGGCATTTCCAAGGCCCTTCAGATTCAACATGTCCAGGCAAAGCAATCCACCTCCAAGAGCCTCGGCCACCGCCAGCCTGTTTAATAAACGGCACCGTCATCCACCCACTTGCTCTGGCCTGGATTGTTTTTGATGTCTCTGCCCCACCCCGTTTGTCCAGTCTGTCACCAGGTCCTGCTGGTTTGACTTATCTCCAAATTCATCCGCTTTACTTTTCACCACCACCCCAGCCAAGCTGTGATTATCTTTCACAAGTACTGGACTAGCAGTTTCCAGATGAGCTGGAGTGTTCATTGGCCTGCGCGTGTCCCCTCTGGCCTGGGCTTTCCTTCTTCCCCACGTTACTCACGCTGGCAGAGGAGTTTTTAGAGGCGCAGTCCTGATTATGTCATCCTCCTCTCCCCTTTAATTTCCCTGAATGGCTTCACACTGTTCACAAATGAAAGCAAAACTCTGTAATAATCTGGGCATCGCTCAGTGCTTCTCAGCTGAGAGTGACTTTGCCTTCCAGAGCGCTTTTGGCCATGAACAGAGATGTTGGTTGTCACAACGTAAGGGGAGGTGCTACCGGGAGGCGTCTGGTCCCTGAGGATGGAGGCCAGGTATGCTGCTAAGTGTCCAGTAACGCACAGGACAACTTACAATAAACCGTTGTCAGAACCCAGACCTCAGTAGTGGTGTCACTTTCCACCTGGCTTGCTAGGCTCTGCCACTGGAGTCTTCTTTGGCTTCTTAAAGAGTCCGTGCTCTCTCTGGGCACAGATCCTTTGCACAGGCCATCCCTGATCTGTGGAAAGGTCTTCTTCTCCTCTCTGCTTATTTAAGGTTTCTTTATCTTCTAACCTCAGCTTGATCATCATTTTCTTTTTTATTTTTAAATATACATATATATATATATATATTTTGTATTTTTACCGGTACCAGGGATCAAACTCACAACCACACGCTTGCAAGTCAGGTGCTTATGCTGCTGAGCTAAATCCCCAGCCCATGCATACATTTTTTAAAAATAGTTTTTGGATATAAGTTTCTTTGAGTTTGTGATTTATATCTACCTGTCCCTTTAACATATACCAGTTAAAATTCTGTGTTTTACTTATAGAATTTTTGTTTATTTGGTTGTTTTTGGAGACAGGGTCTCACTGTAGTTCAGGCTGGCCTTGAACTTGTTTATGTAGCCCAGGCCACCCTTCAATTCACGGTGATCCTCCCACCACAGCCTCCCGAGTGTGAAGATTACAAACGTGGACCACCATACCTGGCTGATTCTTGTAAATTTTTTATTTCTTGTCTCTACAGCCTAATGCAGTGGTGGTAAACCTATGACATGTGTGCCAAGGGGGTACAAAGAGCTCTCTCTGCACATGAGCCAAGTCTCTGAAGCTGAGGTGTGCTAAGTTATCAGCATGTGTACAACAGCAAAGATCGCATTAATTGTGCCAAAGCACACCAAACGCAAGCTTCTACCTTTCAATAAAAAGTTTTTGGTATCATTAAAAGCTCTGTTGTTGTGTTTTTATTTTAAGACAAAAGATGTAAACCGGACGTGGTGGCTCCTGCCTATAATCCCAGCACTCGGGAGACTGAGTCATAAGCCTGAGTTCAAGGCCAGCCTGGGCTATGTGGTGAACTAAAGTCCAGCCTGCACTACATAGGGAGACCCTGTCTCAAAAAACAACAACATCAACAACCACAACAACAAAACCCAAACAACAAAGATGTCACTGTGTAAGCTTTTAAAAAAAACTAAAACCTAAATCTCAGTGTTCAGGTTTAATTGCGGTGTTGTCACTTTACAATAAATACGTGGGTTTGGGGTTGCAGTTTGAGCACTTGTCTCTAAAAGGTCCACCATCGCCACCCTCACACATATTCTATATGAGAATGATAATGCTCAGGAGACTGGCTCTCTCTGTGTACAGCATAGATACACACCGAGCGTAAATATAGGGCATTTCTCTGGCATTATCATTTCTTTGGAGAAGGGTGACTGGGGGAAAAATGCCTAACGAGAGTATCCGTGTGAGGGCTGTAATGAGAGAAAGGTTACTGCCTAGTTCGTTACTATGTACGTGTTAGTATAATAAAATGCGTGCAGTGTGAAACCTACCACCTTAATCATTTCAATGCATTTGGTACACTCGCATTTTTGCACAACCATCGTTATTTATCTCCAGGATTCTTTTCATCTTGAAAAACGGAAATCTGTACCCACCAAGTGATAATTCTGCATCCCACCACAGCCCGCCTGACCCCTGGCCCTGGCGGTCCCCAGTACACTTTCCATCTCCACAAATGTGATGACTGTCAGCCCCTCGCTGTCACGGTTTGGACCGAAAGCCTGTGTATGTGGCATGTAACTGGACTGCAGAGGTATCAGAGCTGACTTGCTGTTAGCTAGTCTGGGATCTGATCAGAAGAGGCAGGCCACTCGGGGTGACCTGACGCCCCCAGCTCCTCCCTCACCTCCTCCTCCTCCTCCCTGCTTCCTGGCCACCTTGAGGTGAGCAGCCGTCCCTCCGCCACGACTGGTACCATGCTGTGCTGCCTTACAGCAGAGGCCCACAGACTGCAAGCATGAGCCAAACAAACCTCTTCACCTTTCAGCTGTGGCGTCCCAGTGACAGGGAAGGAACTGAGGCACTCAGGTAAATGGGTCACGCAATATTTAGCCTTGTGATCGGCTTGTTTTATACTCTGCATGATGCTCTGGAGGTTTCTCGTATCGCAGCGTATGTCAACATTGCACCCTAGTTTAAAGCTGAATTCTGTCTTGCAGTCCGTGTAGGTCATATTTGGTTTGTCCATTCAGTTTTTGGTGGACATTTAGTTGCTTCCCCTTTCCAGGTATTGTGAATAACGCTGCTAAAGGTGAACCAGTATCTGTTTGAACTTGAATGTATAACACGCAACAGAAGTGCTGGGTTCTATGGCAACTGTGTTTTTAACTTTTTGAGGAAATTCCGTACCGTTTTCCATAGTAATTGCACCATTTTACATTTCAACCAAGAGTACGCAGAGATTTCTGTTTCTCCGCATCCTGGCCAACATTTGTTATCATCAGGGCTTTTTATAATATACATTTTATATTTTAAGACAAATAACCTGATTTTTTAGTAGTTATGCATGAGTCATTTAAACTACGGAACAAGTGTTTCCAATGTTTCATCTCACCTCTAGGCACTGTCATAAAAGCTTCCCTAAATAATCAGTTTTGATAGAGTATATAGAATGTATCATTTTAAGCAGCCACAGTGTGATTCTCCGCAGACCCATCACTTGCTTTGTGGATCTACATTGCCTGCTCTACAAATGCAGGAGTCCCC